CTGGTTCACATATCGTTCAGCTGTTTGCATGCAGAAGTCTCTAAATCGAGAAGAATCAATAACATATTGTGACGATAAAGTGCACAAATTAACATGCAACATCTTAATGATGATGACATCTAGTTGGAGAATTTTAGCAGTCATCTCTGCATTTTGAAAAAATCGTCGAGCAGTATTGCCAGTGTTTAAAGATCCTGAACCTAAAGTCCTTAGAAAATTAATTAAAAGCCCAACTTCATCACAAAGTTTCTTTTGAATTGATGTCTTTCTATCTTGAATTATTTTTTTTCCTGATGATTCTCGTGTTGGCCATTTCTGTATTGTTAATTTGTAGCTTATTTTGAGAAGGCATTCCATAGTTCTGATCCATGCATGGAGAGTTGAAAGCCCATAATTGAGTCCAGTTTTAGTAATTGGGAGATTTTTTGCAGTATTTAAGTCATTCATTTTTTTTGGATTGCAACCACAAACTGAGCAGCATTGCGATGATTTTGTTGCTGTGGATAGTGCTGTGGCAACTTTCCCTTCCACCATTGTAATTTCAGTTTTGTGCAAAACTGTTAACTTGTCATACTTTGTAGTAAATAATTTTTCTATTGAGTTGTAAAGGAATTATTCTTCTTCATTTAATACATCTGATGTTTCTTTTTTATAGGAGAATCTTATTGGTCTGCAAAATAAAGTAGATGATGGATAAAGGTTGGACCAAATAATCTTCTTTTCGCCACTACAATATTCAGATAACTGCAAAGGCACAAAACAAGTGAGGAATAAGCTGGCTTCATTTGTAATATTTCTGTTTTCTTCTTCTATTGTTATTTGAGTATAAAGGCTTTGGCCAGTTGATCCATCAAAGTCAACTTTGGACCTTAGGGTCATTCGTTGAAGATCTTCTAAGGAGTTAATAACTTCTGCCTGACATTCTATTAAACGTAGTGCTGTATGATTGACCAATGCTTGCATGTTGACCTCTGCAGAATAGTCAGTGACAGTCCATAGGTTATTCTCTGGAAGACAAAGTACTTTTGCTTCCCGTACATTATTATAGGCTGGATATAAATTACAGCCTTTTCTTACAGAATTGTTCCTTAGGCGCTGATAATCAGACTTGCTACGATTTTTATCTAAGATGAGTGCTAAGGCTTCATTAGGAGTATTTTTAACATGTTCATCAGTTCGAGTTTTTGATAAATTTCTAACTACCTTAGCATGCTTTCTCCTTTCTTGTTTCCAAAGTTTGCAACTGCTAGCAAACAACAGCTCGTTTGAAGAACTTGCCAATGATTCAAGTTTTGACACTTTCCTTATTTTAGATTTATCAGACGATTCTTCAAATAATTTACAAGGCCTGCTAAGAGATAATTTAGGTGTAGTTTCTGTATTGCATAAAGAAAAGGTTTGTGGGGGACTAATAAAGTCTTTGCAAAGCCAGGCTAAATTTTTATCCAAAAATATATAATTGTAACATCCACTTGCAGCCCATCGCTTTCTGTATTCAAAAGTAAATTTAAAAAATTGAACCTTACATTTAGAATTGCCAAGTTGTTCACTAATAAAATTAAAAACTACCAGTTTATCTTTTTCATTCGATAATGATAATTTGTTTTCTCTTATAAATAAATGGATTTGATTTCTATTAATGCTTGACATAATAAAAATAGTCTAAAGTTAAAAATAAAACAATTTATCAATAGGTTTTCATTTATTTTATGTAGAAATATTTTCTTTTAATTGTTATAATATTAACTATAATTAAATAGTCTTATTTTTGAATCAAAATATTCATTATATTATAACATATTGTATTATTTTGTTCACAATGTTATATTTTATATACAATATTAGGGGTGGATCCAGCATTTTTTGGTGTTTGAGATAGCTAACTTCCAGACATGTAGCTAACTCCGAACATTTATATGTTTATACTTATGTCAAATAAGGATGGTTTGCAAAAAATTGCGATGATTGGAGCCTGAGAACAAAAAAGCTCCAAAATTTGAGACGTACCTACTCCAAACGTGAGAGCAACAAGTTGATAAAATATTTTTTGTATATAACAGTATCTGCAGTGATATTGAGACGTGGAAAGGAAAATAGACTTTTTGAGTAATTGTTAACACAATTGACGTATAACGAAAAGGTATTTATTTGCTGTAATGGGTTGCTGGAAAGCCATGTATAATTATGGAAGTTACTAGAAACGTGGAGGTTCGTAGAAATGTTTTTTTTGTTGGTTTAAGTTTGTTGCATGTTGCACGCTGTTTAGTTAATTGCTTGATTTTAGTGGTTGAGTAAGGCAGATTTTGAGCTTTACAGTAATGTAACATTTTTTTTGTTCCCAGATGACATGGTGTTGATATTATATTTTGTTCCCAGATGGCTAGGTGTTGATATTATAAAGTGTTTTAAAGTACTTTGTATGAAACAACATCGGGAGATGTCAGCAGCAATACTTTTTTCCACAGTCTTTATGAGATTGTATAGTTAATATCTGCCAGTTCCAGCTAAGTTTTTTAGTTTATGCAACACAATCATTGCTTAAAGTGACCAATGGAGCCGTCCAGTTACGTAGACCTGGGAGATGTGATAATAAAAGCAGATTGTAGACGATTTCATTTAGGTAAAAAAAACACAAATTAATGTAAAAACAATTTAGTAGAAGGAGTAACAGTTAACAACATCGGGCAGCAGCAATACTTTTTTTACAGTCTTCATGAGATTGTATATCTGCCAGTTCCAAGTTAATTTTGTACAGCTCTGTTTATTAAAGATAAGAGAAAATGATCTTTTGGTATGTGGTGATATTGATGTTTGGAACCGATTAATTAGATGCCTCCATCCTCTGCAGCATTCCACTATAGCTGTTACTCTTTTCCATGTTTATCCCTCTATTGGCTTATTTAGCTGTATTTAGAAACCTTTTTAAATTTATATCATGCTTTTGTTTGCCTTTTTAACTGATGATCAAATTGTCAAGGTAGGCACAGATGTTTTCCAGCACTTTAGTTTGAATATATACATTATTTGTTAAAAAATTGGAACCAATTTTTTAACAAATAATGTTTGATATATGACCCATTTTGAGTTTAAACAAAAAGTTTTTGTTTAAACTTAAAATGGGTCATATTTTTACCTTATGCTAGGTGGTTTTGAGGTCAATGGTACTAAAAATGTTATTTGCAGCTAATTCAAATAAAATATTGTCAATGACACTAGTTGCGTGTTTAAGTTAATTGTGTTTGAATAACCAATTTACGTGCTCATTTGGATTAAGCATGCTGAGGGCTTTATTGAATTATATTTTGTTTGAGCTTGTGGTTAATTTTTTTTGTTGTTAGAAATGGAAATTTTTTGGTCTGCTGTGATTTTGTTGCAATAGGCTTAAATTTATCAATATCTACTATATTTATTGATATCTATATTTTATTCTGTTTGTAGTGAGGCAAAATTTATGCGGTTCTTTATTTTGTTTATAGCTGATAGTTATGAAAAAATGTTGTGTCAGTACATCCATTACGACAATTACAAGCACTACCAAATTTATTGATAACAAAAAGTTGTACATTGAATTTTTACTAACCTATTAGTAATGAACCTTGGAAAATTTTTTTAACTTGTAGTTTGCAGTGATCTGCAAGTGACACCTGTGAGGTGTTGTAGGGAAGTCCATCGTGTAAGAAGTTCAGAGGTAACAAATGTTTTGTTTGAGCCGGTGTCCAATAATACCTGAGTTTTATATTTGTTTATGGTGAAATTAATCAATCTATCTGGTATTTTTAGGTGTAACTTACCACCACTACAAAAGCAAGAGGTTTTGTAGCTTGGTAATATGTTTGTAGCAATTCTAGTTGTCATCTTTAAATTAGGAGCATATTTAGCTACTAGTCTTGATCCCGGTCTTGTAAAAACTTTTAAAGTCATGGTCTTGGTTTTGGGTAGGTTTTTTAATGTCTTGGTCTTGGTCTTGAAGCATCTCTGAATATTATACTAAGATCCTCTTCCAATTAATATAATCCTCTTTGGTCAAATTGTGACTGAGTACTTTTTTTATATTTTTTTTATTTTTTTTTTATATTTATATTGATAGTTGTGAACCTGCAATAAGTTACAATATTAAATATCAAATTTATAGTCATTATTATAAAGTAAAACGCAATGATAGAAACGCAATGATGTATATATATATATATATATATATATATATATATATATATATATATATATATATATATATATATATATTATATATATATATATATACATATATATATATATATATATATATATATATATATATATATATATATATATATATATATATATATATATATATATATATATATATATATATATATATATATATATATATATATATATATATATATATATATATATATATATATATATATATGTATATATATATATATATATGAATATATATATATGAATATATATATATAAATATATATATATATATATATATATATATATATATATATATATATATATATATATATATATATATATATATATATATATATATATAATAGTGATATTTTATGTTGATCAATGATCAACATAAAATATCACTAGTTTGTTTCTTAATAGTTTGTTTCTTAATATAAAATTTAACTTTGATCATCTTAAATTTTATCTAGTAAAGATAATATTTTTACCATTACAAGAAACTTGCCAGTCACCACAAAAAAGAAAACATTTCCTGTCAATGTGGCAAATTATTTAAAAAAAAAGAGAATTAAACCGGCATCAGAAGTCGTGTGGAATTATTTTTTTATGTCATTCTTGCAGTGCTGACAAAAATTTAAAAAGACATGTCAAAGAACAGCATAACGGAGAAGCTCGAAAAAGAAACAAGGTTTTATAGTTTTGCCGATTGCAAAGCAAGTTTATCACCAAAAGTTAAGTAAAACAGATTGCAAGTATACAGTTTTTTGTAAATATTAAATATTGTTTGTTAAATAAATTATTATTTATTGTTATGTATTTATTTTTTTTTACCATAAAAGTATTAATGGCTATTAACCTTTCGGCTTGCGAAAATGCCAATAGTCACTCTATCTGGCCGGCTATAGACTTACATATCAATTCATCTATTTTATTTAAAATCAGGTTGGAATACTCTTACTTTTATGTGTGTTTGTAACAAGCACTTTTTTACACAATCATCCTTCTCTGTGTTCTTTAGCGTTTTTCTTTTTACGAATACTGCACTTTATTCAATATTATTTATGATCAAATTGACTAAACACTTTCTTTATCCATCAGTCTAATGGACAAATAGAAAGGCTGGTTGACAAAGATTTCTCTTTGTCAACCAGCCTTTCTATTTGTCCATTAGCCTTTCTCCTTGTCTATTAGCTTTTCGCTTTTTCTATGAGGATTTTCTATTTTACTACTTTCTTACAACTGGCCACTGACTCTATTTCTATATCTCTTACTCGACCTTGTCTAAAACATTGTGCTTGTATGTAAACATTAAATGTAGTAATATGTTTAAAAATGTTTTTTTAATTTATAAATTTATTTATTTCTTTATTAATAAATAAGTTTATTTATAACTTAAGGTCAAACTGCAATATTTTTTAATTATTTATTTAGAAATATTGCAGCAGTCAATGAAATACTGTATAGGTCTTTTTTCTGTTATTATATTTTTTTAAAAGATATGTAAAGATTTTTTGTTAGTTTTTTAGTATAGAAAATAATTTGTTTTAAAATTTGTAGATCAATTTTGAAATTTTTTTATTCTAATAATTTAAAAGATAAACGTTAAATTAAATTTGCTTGATGTTTTTTTCGCTTTCTTCATACATGATCTAAATAAATTACGGGATTTATAAACTCATTTTTATATTTTATATGTACAGACATAATTGTTCCATATTTTTATGTTTGAATATATATCCTTTGAACCTTATATCCCTAACGGGCCCAATCACTCAGGTAATCTCCTACTTCTAGGTTAAGTTCAAATGTAGGGAGACATTAATGAATGATCCCTGATCGAAAATTAAATTTCGTTTATTTAAAAAAAAATGTTTAAAGGATTCACTGCTTTATATTAATTCTGAAGTCTAATAACAAATCGTTTTAATAATGACTTTTTACTTGTCATTTTCGTAAATAAATGTCAAAAAAAATTCATAAAAATGTTTTTTTATATTAACTTCTAAAGCCAACTTTAATATATTCCTTTAAATCAATTCATTAAGCTGCGTCTATTATATTCATTAGCAACTGGTTCGTTGTTCTTAACGTTTTCAGATAACTTATGGTTTTTTTTTTGATGGGGTTTTTAAGGGCATAACAAATGAACAATTTCCTTTTTGTCCCCGTTGTTTGCTTTACGACGCTTCAGTGCCTCAGGCTGGACACAAATTTTATTTTTTTGGAATTTTTTCAAGGACGCGAATACAGAGTTTTTCTTCCGACTAAATTGCTTCACACCGAATGTGTGTAAGTTTGTAGCAAGTAAACTTGAAATCATTTTCTCTACTCTTTCATTGAATTTTTTAATAATAAGTAAAAGTGATTTGTCTCCAACCGTTATTTTTGAACGTAGAGTTTCAAATGAACTTGATAGAGCTTGATAGACCTCCTTCCTTAATACATCATCCTTTTCACAAAGGGTAGTAGCTTCACCACTGTTAGCGACAATACTGCTGCTTTTATTTATCTCTATAGTTAAATTTAGTTCAAAATTATTTTCGCATATATTGTTATTAGTGTGGAGTCCTTCATAAAACTCTCGTGGTAAACTTTTACCTAATGCAATTTCAGCAAGAGATTTTCTTTGGTTAATGTTAAATATCCGCATAAAGTTCAAACTGTTTGCAATGCCATTAGACCAAAGCACAAATTGATGTTTACACGGAGCGCCATTTTTCCCGACGTGACATTCGCATATTCCAATGTTCATATCAAGAAGAGAAGAGTCAACAAAGACTATTTCTGAAGAATGACTTTCCTATAATTAGCATTCAAAATATAAAAACATAATTAAAGGACTTAAAAAATAAAAACAGTGTTTAATGAAAAAGAAAGTACTCGCCATGGTATGAACTCTTTTCATTAAGGGCGTTACTATAACTAAGATTAACGGTGTTGTTGTCAAATCATTTTCTTCGTATCGTTGGAAATGCACAGCGCTATCAGGAAATTTATCAATATAAAATGCTATTTTTTCTTCTAAATGCTCGAACATTTCTTTCCCGTTTTTAGATCTATACTTTTCTCTATAGTAAGAGTTATATAACCTGTTAAAATCAGGTCGTCTCGGACATATTGAACGATCAGATCTTAACCGATGATATTCAAGCTCATCTTTGCATTCAAACAGTAAATTTTGATTGTATTCTTTATAAGCAAATCCTTATAAAATGAAATTGAACACATGGGAACCCATTTTGTTTTTAAAAATCAATAAAAATTTAACATGCATAAAATAAAATAATTTACATTCCATGAAGTAGTTAAAACCTACCTGGTGTGAAACCTTTATCAAAAAGTGTTAAAACTTTTTCTGGTGTTTCAGGTAATATATCATTAAAACTATTCGCTTGTAATGAGTTTAATGAGTGATTGTGGCAGTATTCAAGAATAGTATGACATGGGTATGCATCTTTATTCTTTTTTATTTTAATTGTAATGGAATATAGACAATCTGTGTTTTTAATTCTTCTTAAAGGATTATCTTTTAAAATAGAGGAAGCATTAGAAGTCGGATTATATCTGGTCTTATGATGGCAGCGATACCTTTTTTAAAAACTGAATGAGCTTTTTAAAATCTGAATGAACTAAATTTAATTCCAGGGTTCCTATGAGAACTACCAATAAATTATTGCATATGAAAGATTCGCATAAAATATTTGTGATAACTTATCACTGTAGTTATATGTCAAAATAGTTAGTTATCGACATTATTTCCAACAAATCTTTAACTACAAAATTTTTGTATTATTTAAAACCTCAATACCTTGATGTCGCAGCCTTTAAGACTTCTTGATTTCTTTCACAGTAATCATTTAAAAATTTTTCAACTTCTTTTTCATTTGTAAGTAATGCAGAAATATCAGCCTTAAAACATTGAGTTGTCCCCTCAACACTATTGATTTTAACATTAGCAAATACAAACAACTCTGGCGCGGTTTCTAAAAGTTCACTAGTGTTTTTTAGACCATTAATTTCAAATCTGATACAAGTGATGCAATTAAAAGTGGTTTACTTATGTCAACGTTTTCGCTAGTATGACCTATACTTGCTAAACCTTCTTCTGTTTGAATAAATTTTTCTCCTTCGCATAATTTATTTTTCAAGGTACTCATACTAATTGCACTATGAAAAATCAAAGATAAAGTTAGCTTCTGCTCAATGAACATGGTTAAATTACATAATAAGGTCCCAGGCCCCGCTTTGGTAGAAGCCACGATATTTTAAAGAGAACATTTTAAAGCTGTTACACTATGAAAGAAAAACAACAAAAAAAGCCTAAGGCCAAAAGGCTTTCGCACAATGAATAGCAAAGTTAAAGTATTGAATGCTCAGCTATTTATTGACCATATAAAAAGTCTATAAAGAAAATCAAACGCCTTCTCATAACTATTTTAGTCCTGTAACTTAAATTCTTTTGCTAAAAGCAACATTATGTAGTATTTTCTGTGGTTACTTAAGCCAAAATACCCACAAACAACATATAACATAAGATTCGTGACATTTACTAAACAATACCATAAACAATGCAAAACTACAAACTAATTTATTTATTATAAAAGTTTTATAGTTACAAATTAACTAATCAAAAAAATTTCGTCACAGAAATTTATTTTTTATAACCATTTTTTTTGCCTCTTTTTAGTGTGACATTAGTATCATAACATTTCCAATACAGAAATATTTTCTGTGGCATTGCAATCATACCTATTACAAATAAAACAAAATTTCGTTAGGAATATGAAGAATAGTCAACATAGTCATATTATAAGACTAGTTATAAGATCTAGTCGACAAATAACTTCACCAGCGACATATTTTTTGTTTTTCATCTCAAAGTTTCGACAGCTCTACAAACATAAAGAAAATAAAAATTACTAAAAAACCAGAAATCAACAAGCTTTCTCTCTCTCTCTTTATATATATATATATATATATATATATATATATATATATATATATATATATATATATATATATATATATATATATATATATATATATATATATATATATATATATATATATATATATATATATAAATGGCGTCCAAAACTTAGTTTTTACGTATTGACCCTCATCGAGATTAATCCCGCCATTTTTTGCAGAACACATGTTTTTTTGTATTTCTAGGGCTTCCTTAAAATAATGAGAAAATGATTAAAAGTAGAAAATAAAAAATTTGAAAGAAAAGTTAGGGAAGCCCTAGAAATACAAAAAAACATGTGTTCTGCAAAAAATGGCGGGATTAATCTCGATGAGGGTCAATACGTTAAAACTAAGTTTTGGACGCCATTTTTTAAATTTCAGCGAAAAAGAAGCCATTCAACCGCTGACGTCAATAGCAACGTTTTAATTTAAATTATAACGATTTTATTAATCACTGTAACATTTAACAAGCTGAAGAAGCTGGTATCTAAAATCCAGCGAAAATTTCTATAATAATAAAAAAATTATAAGTGTTGAGAGAAATCGTATTTTTGATGTTTTAAAATAATATATAAATATACTCTCACACAAGATGTTATCCTTTAAATCATATATATATATATATATATATATATATATATATATATATATATATATATATATATATATATATATATATATATATATATACATTAAAAAACAATTAAAACAATTAAAACTTGATCCGCCCCTGATATATATAAACATAAATATGAGTGTATTTATATATATGTATACAGGCCTCGGCCGAAAGCGAGCCAGCTCTCGCCCACACTCTCCTGAAACGGTTTACAAGAGCTAT